CAATAGTAGTGCAATACAATATTGTAGCGGCGCCTAGCGCCAATCCCTGACTCTGGGATAAACACAAACAAATCTTAAGGCAATGCTAAAACTCTGTGCATGAAAACCGTTGTGCCAACTTCATTTTCAAGAGCATATACAAGTTTGTTTACTGATACTGATAGAAGATGATATGATGTTACCAAAAAAACACCAATTTTCCTTAGGCTGATACAAAGATTCATACCATTATTATGAAGTATAATCCAACATCTCCCAATCAAGGTCTAGTTCTTCTTAGTGGGCAATCTGTCTTCAGGAAACATTTTATAACCAGAATTTCTGTGTGCAACACTACTGCATTGTTGTCCATACAGTATATTAAGACCAGGACAGATCACAGTTTAAAGTGATGGTGAAATCAATGTATTTTTGGTCAAGTTGCATATTTGTCACAGTAACAGTTTGTCATATATGAGCCCTTTATATATAATGCTGGTCAAAAGACTAATGGCTTAGCTGAAAGCAGGCAGTAGTAATAGTATACAATCACTGGCAGTGGCATATGGGAATGTCATTGGTATAGTTGAAATGCAAGTTGCACCAGTGCAAACTTGAAGTTCAGAGTTGGGGAAGGTGGCAGAACCTTAATATTGTTGTTTTACTTTATTCATTTACTAATTGGCATTATTTTGTTTTTCTGGCAAACTGTATGCACATCAGAACACAGACAGGTGTCCAAATTAACGCAACAGCTTCCTCCATACTGTTGTTTGCCATCAGTTCAGATGGGGGGGGGCTGTTTGGACCTTTCTGAAAACCACTGTCATTTTCCCTCAACAACTGAAACCATTGCAGTTCTATGTATTCTTACCACTTACTCCAACTTTCCTAGCACAAAATCCTGAATTAATGAGTGAGCTCCTTCCATGTGCGTGACTTTCAAGAAAGTAATACTCTACTAAGGTACTGCAATCTCAAAAAGTAAGTTCAGGTGCACCACGCTCAAAATCATGTTCAACCACTGATAGTGCCAAGCGGAGCTCCAGCTTGGCTTGTGCGACCTCTGTGACATCTGAATAGCCTCCCATCTGAACTGACAGTTAACAACAGTACAGCTGAGTGGATATTGATAAACCACCATGTGAGAGCACACATACAGGAAGAAAAAACAGAGTGTGAATAATTTTACAGTGCTGGTTACCAGCATGTGACTCTGTCAGAGTCTAACCACATCAGTTTAGCCTTTTTTTAAGATTTAGTCTAATATTCCAACTCAAATCAACTCAGTGGAAAGTCAGTCAAGCTCCTATGCATGTAATCTTTCAAAACATTGGTCTATTGTTATGAATTTAACTGTAAATGGAGTCAGGGAACAGTTAGACTCCAAACCAGTCAACATATGTGTGTATGCTATATCCTAGTGCTTGTGATTAGATAATTTGATTATATAATTATCCAAGACTTTACTGAAACTTGAGTTGAGCATAACACATATATGGCTGACTGGCAAAACTTATAGTGGCGCCAGATTTTGGTTTATTTGCACCACCGAAGATTGCCACCGAATCCAACGTCTTTTGGTCAGCTAAAGTCAAAAACAGAAATGTGGCCATGACTTTTTCTTGGACAGAGCTATAATATTTTGTATGCAGTCCAGACACTTTGAGACACCAAGTTCCAATGAAATCAGCAGTCTTGTGAAAGAAAGGTTTGGCATCACTCTTTATCGTTTTCAAGTCCTATCATCCCAGATGCAGTTGAAGAAGAAACATGTTTTCACAATTGCACCCACAGGTTCTGCAAAAACAGCATTCTAAGCAGATAATGAGTATCATAGTAGATGAATATAGTGTAAAAATATGTTTTAACTCAGTAGCTTTATAGCTTATGAAACAGTGCAACGTTGATAGCATCATTGGAACATTGTTAGTCTCCCTTGCTGACCTAATTCAATATATTGATGATAGTTAATCAATATCTTGTAAATAATAGAACATTGTGTTCAAGTGTAATACTCCTACTCTTCTGTCCAAGAAAAAGTCACGCTCACATTTCTGTTTTTGACTTTAGCCGACCGGAAAATGTCAGATTTGGTGGCAATCTTTGGTGGTGCAAATAAACCAGAATCTGGCGCTGTCGATGATGAGAACTGCTGTTAGAAAACCACACACAAAAACAAACTAACACACAATCCTCCCAGATTCCACGGAACTTGTTTATGGGCTTTGCCTCCTAGAACAGTGGAGTGGTCTGGTTTTTCGTGGGGTGGTACGTATAACGATCCTTCAAAGTAAAACCCAGAGATGTATGAGTGTGGGTTTTGAGGAGGAGGGATAGTTGAATTTAGAAAAATAGGGGCTTAGTGACGAGTATAGATGAGCAGGAAAATCATGATGTCATGGGAAGATGCAGTAAAAAAAAGGCAAGGCAAAACACTATCAGTATCAACACAATTCCTTTATTGTCAGTCAGACATTCTAAAAAAATATGTGTCCATAAAAATGATTCGAAAATCATAAATAATTGCACTGTAAATGAATGTTCTGCTGAAAAAAAAGAAACTGGAGCCACCGGTCCACCACCTAGTCCAAATCCGACAGTTCCATGGCCTTACCAATGGACTGGTTGTGTTGGACCACCTGATCAAACGAGGGAGGGAGAGGAGTAGTTCCAATTTGGAACAAGTGAGTCCCAGGCAGTGTGTGGTAGGTGTATCTGTATCAAAGACGATGGACAAAAGATAAGTGTACCCAAGTAAATGGGACAGCGATGAACATGGGTGATGCAAGGGGATGAACCTTCTCCAGCTCAAAAACTACCCACCCATGCTCCAACCAGGCAAGACGAGCGACCAATGTTTTGATAGTATATGATGGCAGATCGACATCATGAAGATGGACCTGTTGCCCTATTTGAACCGGCCGCCGGGGCTTTGCTGATATTAGCAGTGGCACATGGTAGTCGACGGATCGGCGACGGAAACGGATAGGAAGTGGTGACATCAGAAATGGTGGGGGTGCAAATAAGATGAGGAGGAGGAGGGTGGAGGTGACGGAAAGGTGGATTAGAATGGGGATCCAGAAACGACCGTTGGGTGAGAATAAATACGAGAGTAAGGAACCCATGGTGGGGCTAGGCAAAGGAAGGGAAGTGAAGGAAACGACAAAAGTGAGGGCGCAATGCAATGTGTAGCCAGTGGCGACGCAAAAATTTGCTGAAATGCCGAAACGCAGAAAGTACCGAATGGAAAAGCAAAGGTGAGCGTGACTGGATTGCCTAATAGAGGTGGTGCTGATCAGCCACAAGTTCAAAAAAGGCAATATTAGTTACTATTCCACGTGGCACTGTGCCTGTGTGGCGCAAAGGCAAGTCTTTTTGAATATTTGCTTCGTTATTGACACCTGTCCATGCTACCAATCAACTTTGGTGCATGACAACGGGTCCCTTTTAAGTACCGTATTACTCTTTTGACGGCCTCCCAGTGCTGTTTGCCTGGGTTTTGATTGAATTGAGCGAGCATGTTGGTGGCAAATGTTATATCAGGACATGATACCAATGCTATCCATGTGAGGCATCCAATGGCCTCTTGATATGTGCACTTTGCATCTCTTCAAATTGTTTTGGAGCGCTGGGGGATTGTTCAGTACTGAGACTCAGGCCTACTTCAAGAGGTGTTCCTACAGGTGTTGCATTTTTGAGTCCAAATTGTTCAACTACCTGGTCAATGTAGGCTTGCTGTGATATTGATATCTGCCATTTTTGCTGGTTATATTTGATGTTGAAACTGAGCAGCCACATTATTTTTCCCAGGTCAGATATTTCATAGGATTTGGATAGTTCTCTCTTGAATTGTTTGCGTGAATGCAGTTAGATATGATTACTATGTTATCTGTGGATACAAATATTATGGTGGATTTGTTTTTATGGTGTCAATAGAATATGGCGTGATTGACAGATGACCTTTTGAATTCAATTTCTCACAACAATTTTGTGAGTGTTTCGTACCATTCATGGCCTGATTGTTTTAGTCCGTATAAGCTTTTTTTGAGCTTGCACACTTTATTTTTGTCTCCGTTTTTCAGATAGCCTGGTGGTGGTCTCATGTAAATGTCCTCTTGTAATTTTGCATTGAGGTAAGTGTTTTTGATGTCTACTTGTTGTATGTGCCATCCGAGGTTGTTGGCATTTGTGAGGACAG